CCCCCCCCCAAATAAACATTAAAAAAATAATAAATAAATAAATAAAAATTCTAACAAATTGCTGACAAAAGTACATTCTCTTTTCTAAAAGTTAACAATATACAACAGAACCTCTGAAGAACCAATAAATTTCTTTGTATTAAGCATACTTAGCATTATAAGCTGACTGAGTTCCAGAGAAAAATTGCCCCCCTTTTAGGAGACAAGGAGGAATCCATTAACTGGTCAAAAATCTACCAAAAGCCTCATGTCTACTGGCATCCTAAGTCTGTCATTAACATCAATCCACCACAGAAGGTAAGTGCAACAAAGAGTTTTCATTGGTTTGTCTTTCATTGGCTAATTTTCATAAATATCTTTCTGTGATTACAAATGAAAAGAGGCTATAAATTCTTCCAAATTACTACTTATGTAGTAAGTAAATCATTTACATCGGTAAATCACATTTATTCACTCATTTATCACGTACCAGGTACTGGTGAGCTTACAGTGTAGGCACCAAACACAGTAATCATGTAGCCAGACATAAGGGTAATGTCGAACGCGGCCAAGTGCGATGAAGGAGAGGTACCCAGGGCAAGAGACCATAGAAATTGAGGAACCTGACCTGGTCAAGGAGGTCAGGGAAGGCAAGGATTCCTTGAGTAAGTGATGATTAGGACAAAATCTGAAGATGAAGAATGGAGTTAACTGAAGGGTAGCAGGTAAAGACATGCATTCCAGAAGAGAGGACAGCGTGGGTTCCCATGGTAAAAGGGTACACTGCACTCCCAAAGAAGTGAACAAGCCAAGCGCTAGAGTTCAGAAAACAAGGGTAGGTAAGGGAGGCAACCAGCACAGCAAGCAGAGGTCCCTAGCCCACGTTAAGGATGTTGGTCTACACCCTAAAAGATCAAACAAGATAAAGACTTTAAATGTCTGCTTAGTGCTTAGTGAAACAGAAAAGCAAGTTAACCTTACTGAGAGCTGTTTACGAGGACGGGAAGAGACTAGAGTGAGTAGAGGAAGAAGGGGTATGGAAATGGTACCAGTGAATAGGGACAAGTATCTTGAAAGGTCTAACTGTGAAAAAGAGTAAGAGGACGGTAACTGGAACGAGGCATGAGATCAAGATCAAAAGGGGCTAGCCAATGACTGCCAGTGGCCAGAGGGGGTAAAGAAAAAAGATCAAAAGGGAAGGTAAATGGAAAGAGAAGGGTAACAGGGAGAAGGGCATAAAAGGTGGGATTTAACTTAGATACAGGGAAATGGGTAAAAAGGGTACAGATACATCTAGGGTTCTAGGCTTGGGGGTGAACAGAGAGTTCATGCCTATTGGCTTCTATTTTGTTTGTGACTAGGAGGCTGAGGGGTCAGACGGAAGTTACAGATTTCAAGAGTATGGAAAAGGTCCGAACTAGTCACTGCTCTGAACAGGACGGGGTGACCAGACTGCCTCGGAAGGCCTGGTTGCTTACGATAAGCCTGTACGACCACTCAGCTGGGAGGATGCAGGTCACAATACCAGTAAATCATGCAGCTGCAACTCAAGCATAGGTCTTAGACGCTACAACCTCTATTTTCCCCTGTCTACGTCTGTGTGGGGTGTGTGTGTGTGTGTGTGTGTGTGTGTGTGTGTGTGAGCGCACGTGCACGCATGTGGGGTAAAAAACACCTAACGCAGAATCTGCAATCTGAAACATCTTTAAGTGTGCAGCTCAGTACTGTTAAGGGCATTCACACTGTTATACAACAGATGTACAGATCTTTTTTATCTTGCACAACTGAAACTCTACCCGTTTAACAACTCTCCATTTCCCCTTTCCCTCAGGTAACTAACATTCTTTGTTTCTGTGAGATTTGACTACTTTAGATACCAAATACAGATGGAATCATACAGTATTTATTTTTGTGACTGGCTTACTTCACTTAACAGAACGTCCTCACATGTTGTAGCATGTGACAGGATTTCCTTTTTAAGGGCAAATAATATCCCATTCCAGGTATATACTACGTTTTGTTTATCCCACTCATACATCTATGGCTGTTTATATACACATATATGCATATACATACATACGTATATATATAACATATATATATATAATTTATTCTGACTGTTGGCTGTGAAAAATGTTTCTTTTCTATGGTGTCAATTACACACTCCTGTCACAAGTCCTTATTATACAATGTATACTCTTTGCATTAGTGGGTAACTCCTTTTCTTCCTTTCTCCAATAATTTACGTTTACTGATAGTAACTTGGGACATGTACTAAAGAAGGGATATAACCACACATACAACATGCAAGCCCTGCTTTTATGATTACATCTGGGTAGGAGACTGGGACAGTAATATTAAGAACAGAACTTCATTACCAGCATCCATATGCATATAAACTTGATGTAATAAAATGAATTAGGTTGCACTTGTAGTTTAAGTACCTAAGACTGGCTTACCATCATTTGTTGTACAACCTTGGGGAAATTACTTAAACACCCTAAGCCTTTATTTCCCAATCTGTATTTAACAGCAGCTACCCCACAGATGTACAAAAGGGATTAAATGAGACAATGCAAATAGGATACATAGTACAGTGACTGGGACATACCAGGTGCTCAACAAACACAATCCTTCATCATTATAAAATAATTTATGACCGTGTTTCTGAAATGGTTTGATTTGAAAAACTCACATTTAGACAACTTTACAAGGATATCAGTCCTGTGGAAAGTAGAACGAGCACCCCCACACATACACCAAAAAAAAAAAAAAAAAAAAAAAAGACTGCACAGACAGGAAAAGAAAAAGGGCCCAGTAACTCTCACTCGAGTGAGATTCTCTACTAGCACTTACCACACAGAAACGCTCTTAATTAAACCGAAGAAGCTAACCTCATTCTGGGCAGGAAATTCTCCGCTTTCAGAACCTCTCTACCCTGGGCAGGATTTGGGGCATCCTTGCCCCGCCCATTAGGCGCCAGGAATTGTGACAATCAAAATGCACCCAACTCTTTCAAAAGATTCTGGAGGCGGTACCGCCCAAAGTTGAGAATCACCAAAAGAGAACCCACCCCAAATCTTCCGGAGGTCCTTTTACCACCTTCTGGATTCTATCCCGCCCAGATCTGCTCCAAAGGCAGAGGGGTATACGGGGACGCGCCCCACATGCGCAGAGCTGGGAGTCACCTGCTGAGTCCGTGGCACCCCCGCCCCAGCCACCTTCCAGATTGCAGACTTCATAATCCAAGATCCTCCCTTCCTACAGGACCGCTCAACATCCCTGAGGGGCTGCGCTGCCTTCTGAGGTGCTAGCTTTCAGCCTGCGCTCCTGACTGATCATTATCTCGAGTCCTCCGGCCTCACTGCCGGAGACTTGCGTATCTTGGCGAAATCCGGGCCACCGACACAAAATGGAGTGGGGAGTTGAAGGAACAAGGCTCAGCCCCGGGCCGCAAGAGACTGAACGCCGGGTTCCAGTGGACCAAGCCTCCTTGCCTCCACCCTAAAACCCCAACTCGAGGACTGGAGCCGCAGCGCCGACGCGCGCCATTCAAACTGGAGAGGGGTGGGACTCTAGGCCCAGAGCGAGGGAAGAGCAGACACCATCCCAAAGTGGAGGCCTGGACTGCGAGGAACCTCACAGTCCGGATCTCTCCCTGAAGAACCGGACGTTGCCCTGCCCCACAGTTTCCCTTCTGCCCCGGTTGCCCTTACCCGAATTTACCGCCAACAGCGTCGCCATCTTGGAGGCCACTAACGGAGCCCTCCTGCCGCACGGAAGCCCCAGAAAAGGGTGAGGCTGCCCAAAGCTATGCCTGAACAGAGAGGTACCACGCTGTCTCGGAATGGCACGCTCGACACACTCCGGCGGACGAAGACTTAAAAATCTGCCCTAGGTCACATATGTCAATTTTCGCCGCGATATTCTCATTCAAATTAGGCGAGGGCAACCCGTTCCGAGACGCGAAGTCCTCGATATGACGTTAGTCGTGCAGTGCATTCTGGGACTTGTAGTTTCTTTTTAATGATAAATGAAGTTTAAGCGCAACAGAAGGCTAATTATTGAAATTACGGCTCTTTATGATATTAAAAAAGCCGTAAACTCAAGTCATTATCTCTATGTCAAATGAAATATTCCTTGCATCTCTCTCTTACTTTGAGAAGTGTAGTGGGGTGCAAGGTATCTAAATCTCAAAAAGCCATTTATTTGATCAGTTACAAACTAGGTTTTCATTACATTTCAGTATGTCAAGCAGACTGCGTCAACGTAGTTGCATAGACTGAAACAAATCAAAGTGAAACAAATGATAACTTTTCATTATGACATTTTCAAACGTATACAAAAGTAGAATAACGAACGCCCAGCTTCAATCACGTGGCCAATTCCTGTACTCCACCCCTAACACAAGTGATATTTTTGAAGAAATTTCCAGACAGATCATCTCATAAATACCAAATATTTTTCTACCTCAGCACCCCCAAATATCTGGATCTTTTTTCAATTATTAAATTTTAGTTTGCTAATTTTCAGATTAAAATATAGTCATTACCATTTACTACCATATGCCAGATGTTTATTACAAATTTGACATTATTGGACAAGGTAATAATTATTATGTCATCTCATTTAATCCCCTAAACAATCCCGCTAGGTAAATGGTGTAATTATAGCTGCTTCTCTCAGAGATGTTCCACATGCCTTACAATTTCAGTTTGTCAACTCCTCTAGCATTCCACTGAGGCTGGGAGGAAATAAGACTTTATATTTCTATTTCACTGTTGGAAATCAGAATTACATAACGTAGACACAATCAAAGCAGACATATTCATTCTTTTGAACAAATAGTATTCAGTGACACAATGTACATTAGGTGGAACACAAAAGTCACTGATGAGTTGTTTGAAAGTCATTGTTTATATATAGACACAGATGCCAGACTACCATCAAAGTGGTTTTTAAGGAGTGAAGGGGAAGAGAGAATGAAAAGGCAAAGCGATATTTCCCGAAGTTTAGCGTGAAAGTGAGAAAAATATTGAGCAGAAACTTGGCAAAGTGGCATTTAAAGATTTTCTCTCTCAGCACAACTATTACAAACCCCCCTCCTCCCTGCATGCCCACACACTTCCCTCTAAGTAGATCACTTTGCTTTCGATGAAGAAACACTTCAACTTCCCGCAACTCCTCCCACCCACCATCACACTTACAAGGATTCTTTCACAGGTTCCTCAATCCATAGCAATTGGGATATTGGGATATTGCCATCATAGCTCTCCTCAAACTGCTCTCAGTGTGGTCACTGATGGTCAACTAATTCCATGGGCACTTTTATGAATTTCTTAGAAATTCTTTTGTTTCTTTAATGTTTATTTTTGAGGGGGAAACAACAGTGTGAGGCAGGGAGGGGCAGAGAGAGAAGGAGACACAGAATCCGCAGCAGGCTCCAGGCTCTGAGCTATCAGCACAGAGCCCGATGCAGGGCTCGAACCCCAGAACCATGAGATCATGACCTAAGCAGAAGTCAGACGCTTAACCAACTGAGCCACCCAGGCACCCCAAGAGTTTCTTAGAAATTCTATTTCTCCTTGACTTACGGGGTACCTGCTGGTTTTCGTCCTATCTTTCTAGTTCTTTTTATGTTTCCTATGTGGACTTCTCTTCCTCCTCTCACCCATTAGATGTAGCTCTTTCTGTCATTCCCAAGCTTGTTTCCTCATTCCACATGCTTTCTCTGGGAAACCTTATGGCTTCTTACTACCAGCTGTTCACTGCTGAATTCTGTATTTCAATCTGTAGTTCAGTCCCCTCTCCCGGGCTTCAGATTTGTATATCAAGCATGTCAACTTCACATGTCTACTGATTGTCACACGGCCATCTCAGAATCAATTAATCTGAAACTCAAATTAGCACTTTCCTCTGAAAATTCTGCCACCTGTATCCGGTCGATTGCCAAGGTCAGAAATCTGGGAGTCATTCTGTATGTTTCCTTCAATGGCCAAATCCTATTCATTCTATCTCATAGATATTTCTGGAACCCTTTTTCTTTGCTCTGCACCCTGTTGCCATTGTTCCATTCGGGTCAAGCTCCTTACACTTGTATTTTGCAATAGCCGTCTCACGGGTCTTCCTGATTTCCATCTCATCCTCCTCTCATGGACGTCAAATTGATTTTCAAATACACAAATCAGATTATGTACTTGCTCTAATCAAAACTAATCAATGACCTATCACCTAAGAGTAATATTTGAAAACTTCTGGATTTTTTTTAAGGTAGGCTCCATGCCCAACATGGGGCTTGAACTCAGGACCCTGAGATCAAGAGTCACATGCTCTACCCACTGGGCCAGCCACACGGCCCTTGAAAACTTCTCAGCAAGGCACTCATGCCACTTCCTGATCTGATTCAGCCTCCTTCTTCAACCTCCTCATCCTCACTCTTCCTCAAGCTCTTTTTGCTGATCATTCTGAACTATTTTCTATTTCCCAATAGACCATGCTTCCTTGTACCACATAGGAATATCTTTGCACCTGCTGTTCTATATGTTTCGAATGCCCTTCCTTCCCTATCCTTTGACCACCCACTAAATTAACTTTCCAAATATAATCCATCTTCCAAAGCTGAGGGCCTGTGTTAATTCTGCTTCCCTGTGCTACCTTTGATTCCACCGACGAAATCTAGGGGTTTCTTTCCCTACATCCGTATTGCACTCTTAACCACCCCTATCATAGTCCGATGTGCTATGACGATTGTCTCTCCACTAAAACTGTTAGCTCCTTGCGGAAGATGGTTACTAAAAGGCCCCCAATGAATCACACATCCCTGAATTCAAGCTAGCGTGTAATCATCTGCCAAACCGAATCTGGGTGGGCCTTAAGAGTTGCTTGGGGGGCGCCGTGGCATGATGGAAGAGTTGGCTCGACTTCAGCCAGGAAGTCCGCGATCTTAGTCCGTGAGTTGAGCCCGCTGGTCAGGCTCTGAATCTGATGGCTCGAGCCTGAGTTTCAGCTTCCCGATTCTGTGTCTCCCTCTCTGCCCTCCCCCGCTCTGTCTCTCTGTCCCAAAATAAATAAACGTTGAAAAAAAAAATTTTTTTAAATAAAATAAAAAAAAAAAAAAAAAAAAAAAGAGTTGCTTGGGCCAAAAAAATGCAGTGGAAGTGAAGTTGGGCAAGTTCCAAGGATTTAAGAGGTGTTGCTGCTTCAACTTTTCCTCTTTTGGTGCCCTGAACATCATATACGGGGAGCTGAACTCTCTTCCTTGAGAATGAAAGACCACAAGTGGAGAGAGTAGAGAAGCCGAGCCAGCCTCCACCTGTTCCTGTTATCCCCACTGAGACTCCAGATGCAAATAAGGCCATCTTGGTTCCTCCAGTCCTACCTGAGCCACCAGCTGACTGCAACAGGGTCAGTGAGCCCAGCACAGATTCCAGAATTGTAAGTGAACAGCTATTGTTTTAAGCTCCACTTTTATGGTTTGTTATATTCAATACACAACTGATTTACTCCTAGAGAGCAACAACTGTGTCTTCTTATATTTAGGTTCCCTGCGCCTGCCACATCTCTGGCTTGCAGTTACAATTCAGAAAAAGATGATTTGCAGAGCCTCATGCTTCTGTGATCTACCGGAATAAAAAGAAGGCACATATAATTGTGGTTAATAGTACAGACCCTAGAGCCAGGTTTCTTGGCCTCAAGTTCGGTTTCCCTCACTGACCTGTGAAGCCCTCCTTATTGAATCAGTTTTCCCAACTCTAAATGGGGATGATAATATTAGTAACCTCACTGAAGAGTTTTCTTTTTTTTTTAATATTTTATTTATTTTTGATAAAGAGAGACAGAGCACAAGTGGGGAAGGGGCAGAGAGAGAAAGAGACACAGAATCTGAAGCAGGCTCCAGGCCCCGAGCTGTCAGCACAGAGCCCGACGCGGGGCTCGAACCCACAAACTGCAAGATCGTGACCTGAGCCGAAGTCGGATGCTTAACCGACTGAGCCACCCAGGCACCCCAAGTTTTCAACAAGCTTATTTGTAAAGTGTTCAGAATGTGCCTGGCACAGGGGTGGGTGCCCGGGTGGCTCGACTGGTTGCGTGTCTCACTCTTGATTTAGGAGCTGGCCCTGAAATGCCAAGTAGGGTGAGAGAAGGGCAAACAGACAGAAGCTAGAAGAGGAGACACAGATGGGAAAGACAGAGAGGAGGGAAGACCTGGGGGAGTAGGGGAGCAGTGACAGAGAGAAAATGAATTATACACTCATCCATTCAAAGTATGAGCTTTTGGGGGCACCTGGGTGGCTCAATCGGTTGAGCATCTGACTCTTGATTTCAGCTCAGCTCATGATCCCAGGGTCGTGGGATTGAGGCCCATGTCGGGCTCCATGCTGAGGATGGAGCCTGCTTGGGATTCTCTCTCTCTCTCTTCTCTCTCTTTGCCCCTGTCCCCCGCTTATGCTCACTCTCTCTCTCTCTCTCTCTCTCTCTCAAATTAAAAAAAAAAATGATGGGGCACCGGGGTGGCTCAGTTGGTGAAGCAACTTGGTTTTGGCTCAGGTCGTAATTTCAGCTTCATGAGTTTGAGCCCCTTGTCAAACTGTGCCGACAGTGAGGAGCTCGTTTGGGATTCTCTCGCCCTCTCTCTCTCTGCCCCTTCCCCACTCGTGCTGTCTCTGTCTCTCTCGAAAGAAATAAACTTTAAAAATAATACAATTAAATTAAAATCGTAAAATAAAAATAAACTATTTCTAAGG